ATTCCATTTACAATGATAGCACTGACTGAGTGTTTGACCTAGGTTAAGTCACTTAAAATTTCACTCTATTTTTTTCTATCTGTGTTCTGTGAATACTTAACTATCCGGCAAGGGTTTGTGAGGCTTCATCAATTAATGTTAGTAAAAGGGCTTTCAATCTTTGGAGGTGTTTAATAGTGTAGGGGCCCTTTTCTATACCATAGAAGTCAATACAAGGTCTGTCATTCATTTCAGTGATGAGATTGGATAAATGGACTGTAAAATGGATTGGGGCAAAAGAAATCTGATGAGGTTCAACAAGGGCAAGTGCAGAGTCCTGCACTTGGGACGCAAGAATCCCAAGTATTGTTACAGACTGGGGACTGACTGGCTAACTAGCAATTCGGCAGAAAAGGACCTGTGGATTATGGTGGATGAGAAGCTGTAAATGAGTCAACAGTGTGCCCTTGTAGCCAAGAAGGTGAATGGAATATTAGGTTGCATTAGGAGGAACATTGCCAGCAGATCTAGAGAAGTGATTATTCCCCTTTATTCGGCACTGGTGTGGCCACATCTGGAGTACTGCATCCAGTTCTGCGCCCCTCACTGCAGAAAGGATGTGGATGCATTGGAGAGGGTTCAATGGAGGGCAACCAAAATGATTAGGGGACTGGAGCACTTGACCTACGAGGAGAGGCTGAGAGATTTGGTCTTATTTAATCTGCAGAAGAGAAGAGTGAGGAGGGATTTGATAGCAGCCGTCAACTTCCTGAAGGGATGTTCCAAAGAGGATGGAGAGAGGCTGGTTTTAGTAGTGACTCCAGAACAAGGAGCAATGGTCTCAATTTACAGTGGGGGAGGTATAGATTGGATATTAGGAAAAACTGTTTCACTAGGAGGGTGGTTGTCAGCCGATGGTCAGGGCAGTGTGTGTGTGTGTGTCACACCCAAGTCTTTCACTGCTGAGACACAAGGTCCCATCGCAGCGGACAGCCTAGGAGGCTGAAGAGTGCCGCAAAAAGTTTCATGTCTGTGACTTTACTGCTAGGACCGGGGTCCCGTCGTGGAGGGCAGCCAACAGGCTGACAGACGCCCCAGAGTTTATAGGAAGAGCTTATTACATCTCAGATTTCAGCTGCTAGGATATAGGATCCCTTCGCAGTGGGCAGTCTAGTGAAGACTGAGAGATGCCCCAATGGATCTGTCACCTGGGAGTGACATAATCCAAAACACCCAAGCTCTCCCAATACTGTCCCTTATGACCAGCTGAAGTTCTTTTAAATTGTGCTTGGTTCTGTTACAGCAACTGAAAGAGTCGGGTTAAAGCTTAACCAGTTACAGGTTTATTAAAAGGCTTATAAAGCATGTGGTTACAATGGCTATTGCTCTACTTCTTAACTGCTAGCAAATATAGATCTTAAAATGGTTACAAAGAAAAAGGAGGATAGAAAATAATGGTACCAAGTGACAGCTTAATCTTTAAAGAGCTCTAACACTATGTTTTACACATACAAGTAAAATTTTTACCCCCTTCTGTGCCTCTCGACTCCAGTGGGTCAGGCCAGGGTTGGTCCCTCAATTCCTCGGAAAGACGAATATGAGGTGGGCGTCCCCATGGAACCTCGGGAGGTCAAACACCAAACCCGGCCAGCAGATAGATGGTAGACTGACGCTCAGAGTAAGCGTGCTGCTGGACCCATCTTTATACCCCAAGGGGCCCGTATCCTCTTTCTTATCTAAGATGCCAAATTGTACTGAAGGATAAGTGCATTTTCATTTGTTTGTTTAAAGAAGTTTCATTTTCAGTGTTTTATTCTTAATTATTGCAGACTATTGCTCCCAAGCCTTGCTGCTTTTGTGTTGTTAAATGTCTCTTCATGCTGTTTCTCAAAAGCTGTGATTTTGCTGATATTTTAATTATTTATCAGGGTTCTTGGTCAGCGATTAGTTTGACCACCCCCTTATCTCTGCCTACAGTTGTCCAGGGTCATGGGTGAGCCCAGCATATCTGAGCTTCCTGCTCCAAGGCTTTCAAAGACCATGCTGTTTTCTTACTCTGTGTGCCCTGCATGCTTTCAAGCAAGCAAAAGTTCATGTCTGGATACAGTGGTGAAGTACTAGAATGGGTTACCTAGGGAGGTGGTGGAATCTCTATCCCTAGGAGGTTTTTAAGTCTTGACTTGACAAAGCCCTGGCTGGGATGATTTATTTGGGATTGGTCCTGCTTTGGGCAGGGGGCTGGACTCGATGACCTCCAGAAGTCTCTTCCAGCTCTGGGATTCTATGATTCTGTGTCAAATCCTTAACTTATGACAATAACTATGACACTGTATAAAGTCCAGTGAAAGTGAAATTGGTTTCCATCCCACTACCTGAATGCTGGCTTAGTACTTATGAGGTGTATGCTATAATTTTAACGTCTAACAGTTGATTAAAATTATTTTGAGTGCAAGGTCTGTATTGAACCAAGATGGAAACTAGTGATACTGGTATCATATGTCAGTATTATTATCTGGTGGGCACTGGATTGGAGCTCCAAAAACCTGACAGTAATGTAACATATCATTTTTTAGAACATTTTAGATTTCCTGAATGGTGACAAAGGTTTATCAGCATGTGAGCTTTCCTAGCATGGTACTGTACGGGGTACAACTATTGTCCAGTTTCAAAGGGTACATAGCTTTAGTGAATTTGTATGTAATTACTTTCTCCTTTTCAGACAATGAAGGAAAGAAAATTAGCTTCAAATAGCACTTCCAAAGAAGCTTAGTGGAAAAAAGATAATAAGCAGTTTTGCCACATTTCATTTACCGGTGGTAGATTTGTAACGGAAAAGTAACAAGCAGCTAGTGGACAGCAGGGTATTAATTTCCTTTTATAGGTATGGTTTGACAGTCCTAGATCACAAACATTCACAGATTGTCATTCATACAATTATTAGTGTTAACTAGATGCCTCTTAAGAAATCAAACATTGTTGACTTGATCTGTCAGTAATGAGAGAGTGGACCAATAACTGCCTAGTTGACCTTTAATAGCCCAAATTTTACACTTGGTATTGTCAGTAATGAGAGAGTGGACCAATAATTGCCTAGTTGACCTTTAAAAGCCCAAATTTTACTCTTGGTACATATATGTTTTTGTGTGGTGTCCATTACTGCAGGGATTGTGTTGTGCAGAGATCTTTATATCAGAATATTTTCCTAATGCAATTTAGTATCATCATTGATAGTGAGTAGCTATCCTGTTTGAATATTCTTTAATCGAGTATATTTTGGTCTCCAGACATAGCAACCTTCTAGTTGGCCATCACATAAATAGAATTTGTGATTGCATATGCAGATGGGCAGGAAAGGGTTAATAAATGGACCAAACACCCCTCCAGAGGGCCTTACTAGTGGCAGCTGGCATAAAAGGTTGTAGTTGAGTTAGAGGGCTGTAGTTGAGATAGAGGGCTTTCTACAAATGATGCTGAGTGTGGGCTTAAGGAAATGCCTGTGTAGCCAGCTAGGAAAATCTTCATGGGGAGAGGGAATTTGAGGAGAGAATGGTTCTGAGTCCCCCTTTCCCTTCTCCATACCATACAGGGGGCAGAAAAGCTTGACAGGCCTCTGTTATTTGTCTTGTCAAATCTTTAGACCAGACTAGGGATGTAAGTGACTAGTCGTCTATCTAATAAACAGAAGCTTATCGGATAGTTGACTAATCCCTTGACTAGTTGCTTCCTACCCTTGCTGCCGCCATCAGCAGCTGCCTCTTTTTACAAGCCAGTTCACCCCAGCACTATCTCGCATAATTATGCCTGATTTTTTTTTTCTGGAGCACTTTGTGTTGGAACTGAACATTTGTGTGGGGGACAGGAGAGGCAGGGGAATAGTGGGACCAGGTGCAAGCTGGGAATCAGCTACAAGCCTGTCAGCTCTTAATACATTTAAAAGGCTGTAGCACAAGTGTGTGTGTGTGGGGGGGGAAGAGACCTGGCACAAGCTGACAGTCAGCTCTCCCAGCTCGCGTTGGGTTCCCCGTGCTGCACCTCTTCTTTTTAAATGTATTAGGAGCCGGCAGACTCTTACTGCATTTAAAAGGCTGGTGCACAGTGAGGGAGAATTGGTCATAAGTCTGGAATCAGCTGATTCCCAGCTCCCGCCCTGTTCTCCTCCACTGTGCACCAGCCTTTAAAACATATTAAGAGCCTGCTGGCTCATAATACATGTAAAAGGCAGAACTGCAGCTGGGTTATCTCCCACAGCCAAGAGCTAACCCCACTGTGGCTCCCCCACTTATCGACTAGTTGATGGAAATCCCATTGACTAGTCGATTGGATGATTAAACTAAATTTAACATTCCTACTCAAAGTCCGATTACTGGGTCATCCACTCCTGTCAGACTGTACTCATCTTGAGCTGCCTCCTCCCTGCATCAGGCGAGTACAGCTCTCAGGCCCACCTCTACAGGTGAGAACCTTCCAACATGGGTCTGGGTGGATCCTTAGAGGAGTTTCCAGTGCCCCTGCTGAAGAGCATATTCTTTAACTATGACAGAACTGCCAAGCCCAGTTGTGCAGTATTGCTGGATATGTGCTTCCAAAATCTCTTCCCTGACGAACGTTTCAGGAAAACATAACTCCTTCCTGTAGGTATTTCTGTAGGTATTCCTGTAGGATTGATCCTGTAGGTGTGATCGATCTCAAAGTGTCAAAGGCAGGATTACAATTCCAGTGTAAAATGTAGATGAAGCCCAGCTATGGGAACAGGAGAGTGCAATAAACTATTGTTTAAACACAAATGTCTGGAACAACTGCAAAAAATTGGCAAACATGTCAAGGAAAATGCATTTCGTACAAGTCCCCCCATCTCTGATCTGATTTTAATTTTTCTTTTTCACTTTCTCTTCCCCGCTCAACATTAAGTTTATTTAATTTTAACTTTGATTTAATTTCTCAATGCACTGCAGAGATCATTGCAAAATACAATTGGCCGTATAGAGAAACTTCATATAGTACATTAAATCCTTTAAAGAAGCAAACCCCCTGCTGTTTACAACACTGAATGATGTGCAGAACTTACTGGCAGGGAGCCTTGGAGAAATCAGATAGCAGCACAGTGGCGTGCCTTTTCTCTTGACAGAATTAGCACTCTGTTAGATAGTTTGATGCAATGCATGTAGGTTTTCTTCATTGGCTTGGGAGAAAAGAAGCAGGGCATAAACTCTGTGTTTTAAAGCAATGTTTTCACAGCAATAACTAGGAAATCAGTTTGTGACATCTACAGGTGTAAGTATGTACAGAACTTAATTGCCACTCTTTGAAAATTGTACTTTTTTCAATAAACATTTTCATGGATGGGAGGTAATGTACGCAAGGGAAGGCATTGCCTTCCCAAATCTGCCTGCGCTCTCCTGCCGCCTGGGAGAGCTGGGGCCATGGAGCAGCAGCCCAACTCTAAGGCCGTACAGGAGGGCTGGGGCTGCGCAGTGCTCTGGCCACCTGGGAAAAGTGGGGCCATGCCACCTTCTGGGATGAAGGGCTGGGAGCAATAACCTGGAGTTTGGGCCAGACTTGGCTCCATTGGGGGTGGGGGGTGGAGGCTGTGGAAGGAACAGGGCCTAGAGTGGGAGAGGTGCAGCTGGAGCTTGGCTTCCCCACCTGGACCTTCCCCCACCACCCATAAACATTTTTGTATCTTTGTGTACAGGGCTCACATTATAGTATAAAAGGTTCCATGCCTGCTGCTGTATTGTGTTTTATTGTGAAGAAACAAATATCACCTTAACCTCCTTGCAAAATGAAATATTTTATGTCATAGGTAAACTTTATATATATTTTATAATGTTTCACGTTTTAATATGCATATATTTAAAGTTTACCTATGACAGAGCTCCTTCTTACAAAAGAAGTATTTCAGAGATAACATTTGTTTCTTTATAGTAATGGGAAATAAATTTGTATATAATATGATGCCAGATGTTCAGTTCCAACACAAAGTGCTCCAGAAAAAAAAATCAGGCATAATTATGCGAGGAAATAATGAAGCTAGAAGTTTGTGGGAGTAATTTGTCAGGTAAATGAATCTCAGCGTGAACTGTGTGAGTGTGGAGTGACACTGTATCTGTCAGAGAAACTTGTGGGAAGGACAGCTCTTCCTTGCTTTCTTTTATTATCTTTCATATTCTCGTGCACCCATCTCTAAATATATTGTAATACTGTTAATCCGTAGTGGCACATGGGTGAAAAGGGAATAGTACTTTTCTGGAGTTCAGTGGAGCAAGTGTTGAAATAAACTCAAACTGGCATGGCATTATAAGGATCTTTTTGTAACCATTACCTAGAAGGAGATTTTCCAAGTGTAGTAGGTTTTCTTTTTAATTATGAAGCATTATTCATTGTTGGAAGTTTAAAACCCTAAATTCTTAAATTAATTTCTTTTGTATATGCTTTTTATTTTTAAGTTTTCTTATGACTAGTGCTGAAATGCTAAAAAATGCAAAATTTGTATTACATGAGAAATATATCATTGTAATGTTAGATTTTATAATAATGCCAAAGAGGACAAAGGAGGCACAGTCAAACTTCAGTTTTTCCTGATGTCAGCATATTTAAGACCCTCACTCTGCTAACATTTACATTCATTCCTGTGTAAAAGTTTGTCAAATCAGGACCTTAAAACACCAGGAACATGTTTAATCTTACACTTGCTTAAAAGGAACATTAGGTGAATGTGAACATACTGTGAAGTGCGGGACTGAGTCCTTCATTTGTAACCTTAATGTAACAGAAACATGTACTTTAAAACTTGTATTTTCTTATTGAAGCATGGGAATAAATAAATCCAGACGTATCAGGCTAGAGGAGCTTAATGGGTTTCCTACTTCTGGATAGTTTTTAAGTCCATCAGGTCAAGGGAAATTCATAAACTATTCCTCTGGGCCAGGTGGGTTTGTCCACAATGTAGAAATTCTCTAAGGGCAAATCTACACAGCAGCATTATTTCAAAATAACAAAGTGAGCATCTACACAGCAAGTCGGTTATTTCAAAATTATTTTGAAATAAGGGGCTTCTTATTCCGCATTCTGTTACCCTCATTTTATGAAGGATAATGCCTATTTTGAACTAGATATTCATAAGTGTGTGAGTATGTTTACACTAGCTCCCTACTTCAAACTAGGGAGGCTAATGAGGGTGACCGAAATTGCAAATAAATTGCGGGATTTAAATATCCCGCGCTTCATTATCATGTTCCCGGGCAGTTGCCATTTTGGAAATTGACTAGCCCCGAAGAACTGCCCACGTCTACACACGGCAGTGAAACGGGAGTTCAAAGTAAAGCCCTTTATTCAAATTAGCTGTTGTGGCATCTGCTGCTCACATACTCCTCCCCCAACACCCTCCCTCTCTCTCCTCCATTTCTCTCTCTCCTCCAGAGGGTAGGGGTACAAGTCTTCTCCCAGTGGGACACCGGCACTGCCGGACCCAGTGGCTGTGTCTACATTGGCATCCCTTTCCGGAAAAGTAGGAATAAGAGATCCTCCGGAAAAGGGCTTATTTTCTGGAGAATCATGTCTAGACTGGTGCTTTTCTCCGGCTTATCCCCAAGCCGGAAAAAAGCGGCAGCCATGTTAATGCAAATACCGCAGGGAATATTTAAATCCCCCGCGGATTTTGCTATTCCAAAGTGTCTAATCTGCATCCCTTTTCCGGAAAAGGGGTGCAGTGTAGACACAGCCAGTGTGTGTACAGCATGGAGAGAAGCTGTATCAACAGGGAAAGGGAAGTAGGGGGAGAAGGAGGGCAGGGAAAGGAAGGGGTGTGGGTGGAAAGGCACAAAGGGGCAATGCACAGGCCTCTTGTGTGGAGGCCCTGGGGAATGTGTCACTGGGGTCCTTGTGTGAAACTCTCCCCTCAGGGCCTCTCAGATGTGCACAGCTCCCAATGGGGCTGTTCAAAGACCCTTGCCAACTGCTCGGCCTCTGACCCCCACCCTGGTAGGAAAATCTACTCCTTATATTCACATATATTGTTCAGGATAGATCTGGCCGCCACCACCTGGGGGATGTTCCTCTTGTCAATGTCCAGGAGGGTGAGGAGGCAGCAGAGCATCCCTTTCAAATGGCCAAAGGCACCCTCCACAGCAATGTGGGCCCTGTTGAGCCTGCCATTGAAACATTCCTTGCTTTGGTCCAGGTGTCCCGGGTAGGCCTTCATCAGCCAGGGGAGCAAAGGGTAGGCAATATCCCCCACGATGCATATGGGTATGTCCACTTCCCCAACCCTGATGGTGTAGTCAGGGAAAAAAGTGTCAGTGTGCAGCTTCTAGAAGAATCTGGAGTTCCTTAAGACGCAGGCATCATGTGCTTTCACTGACTTCCTGACGTTAATCATGGTGAACTGGCTTCCATAGTCCATGAGGGCCTGCAGGACCATAGAAAAGAACCCCTTCTGGTTAATATATTTGGCTGCTCGGTGGTTGGAGGCCCAGATGGGGATAAGAACATAAGAACGGCTGTACCGGGTCAGACCAAAGGTCCATCTAGTCCAGTAGCCTGTCTGCCAACAGTGGCCAGCACCAGGTGCCCCAGAGAGGGTGGACCAAAGACAATGATCAAGCGATTTGTTTCCTGCCATCCTTGTCCAGCTTCTGACAAAGGGAGGCCAGGGACACTATTTCTGTCCCCTGGCTAATAGCCTTTTATGGACCTAACCTCCAGGAAATTATCTAGCTTCTCATTAAACTCTGTTATAGTCCTAGCCTTCACAGCCTCCTCTGGCAAGGAGTTAAACCTGCTACCCATTAATTTCATTTGGTGTCCCCTAGTTCTTCCATTATGGGAATTAATAAATAACTTTTCTTTATCTGCCCTCTCCACACCACTCATGATTTTATATACCTCTATCATATCCCCTCTCAGTCTCCTCTTTTCTAAACTGAAAAGTCCCAGTC